ATTTTATAAAAATTGCTGCCATTGACAGCATTTGTCAATTTGGTTCTAAAATACATGTTGTATACTCTTTTTTTAAAATCATTTTATTGGGGCTCATACAACTCTTATCACAATCCATACATCCATTCATTGCACCAAGCACATCCATACTCCTGTTGCCCTCATCATTCTCAAAACATCTGCTCCCCACTTGAGCCCTTGGACATGTTGTTTACTCTTAAACAATGGCAGCTAGCACATCACACACACACACACAAAGATTTTAAAGTAAGTTGTGACCTTAGGCACATGGCTAGACTCCGCTCTTGCCCCTCCACCCATAAATCAGTTCTCCCCCAAGACTGTTAGGGTCTGCGGTGGGGTCTGCTCCACCTCAGGGACCCAGGTGGAGGGAGCCCTGCCCTGTCTGGTACCATCCCCGAGATCAGTTGTGATCCATTGAGTATTCATTAGCTAATTTCAGGCGTCGATCGCCAGATTTTCCTTCTAGTCTCTAAGTCTGCATGCTCTGCTGAACCGTGCTCAGCGTCATAGCAACACGCATGCCTCCTTCGGCAGACGGGCAGTGGCTGCGCAGGAGGGGCACTGACCTGATTCAACCTGAATCTCCTTCCCAAGGCCAGAACCGAATCACCACTGTCTCCAGTTCCCAAGATTGCTGGGAGGATAAACCGAGGCAACGCCAGGGACGTGCTTACTGGGTGTAGTGCCCGCGACACAGACAGTCAACAACTGTGGCTCTTTCCCTCATGCTTCTGTCTACAGAAGCAAAGTGCGTGATGCTTATGTACGCCTGTCCCAGACACACCTGCACACTTACAGCAAGCTGCTCAGAGTTCAGTGAGTTTCAAAGGGGATCTGATGGCCATATAGGCTCTGCCTCACCCTTGGGAGACATATACAAGCACAGGCTTTGATTCGGGATTCTTTGTGCATCAGTCACTCAATGTCGCCATGTTTCTCCGCAGATTCCACCGAGGCTTATCCCCAGCATGCGCAGTCTTTGGACGGCTCCCCAGGCAGCTCCATGCCGCTGTACAGATCTTCGGAGGAAGAGAAGAGGGTGGCAGTCATCAAGGCCCCCCACTACCCAGGGATCGGGCCGGTGGATGAATCCGGCATCCCCACAGCAATTAGGACGGTAGGGCGTGCCAGCGAGTGTGTGTGTGTGTGTGTGTGTGTGTGTGTGTGTGTCTCGCTCTGCACGTGTGCACAGATGGTACAAAAGACGGATTGTCAATGGCTTCGTGCATTCCTGCGGTCTTATATAATGGGGATGGCGCTGCGTGCCATCCGAGTTCTCATGAATGTTAGGCTGTGGGAGGTAGAGAAAGAGAACTGTCCACTGAAAATAATCGCATGTTCAAGGGACGCTCTCAGGGGGGGTTGTTTTGTTTTTGTTTCCCTTATTAATTAAAAGTCCTCCACATTATGACCCCGTGGAAGTGATAACTCCATGCTCTCGCCCATGGCTGTGTCAGGGCCCTAGAAAAGAGCAGGGCCTGGACGCCTGAATTCCTCGGCTGAATCGCATTCCCACATGCATTGCAAATAAGGCAGTGGTTTGTTTCCTGAAATGGAAGGGTGTTAACACCGGGATCTTGGGAGCTGTGAATTGGGAGTTGGGAGGTGAGGTGCTTGGAATGTGGGGAGCCGATGTCATAGTGGGGAGCCGCTGTCTGTAGGGGGCAAAAAAACACACATTCTTAGGGTCCCTCTTCAGCTCTGCCTTCTGAGAGCTCTCCAGGGATGGTAGTGAAAGTGTTTGGGCAGGTTTTTTTTAAGTCTTTAAACGCTGCCAGCATTGCTCTGTGTCAGGGCAGCCCCTTCTGGCAAAGCTCAGCACCAGCAGAGGCGGCTGTGGCTGGCTGGGCAGGCGGCTGCGCGCGCTGGGCAGGTCCACTGGAACAGAAGGGCTGTGCTGCCTGCAAGCAGGGTGAGGACAACTGCGAGCAGGATGAGAGCTGCAACACCTCTGCAGGTGAACTTGGGGGGAGGTGTGAGAACAGAGCTCTGGCTCTACCCCCCGGGCCTGACCACACCAGCATACAGGGCTGGGGAGCTGCCAAGGGCTACCTCCCAGGAGTGCAAACCTGGGAAGCAAAAGAAAGCAAGGGATAGAGGAGACGGGACGGGAAGATGTATTTTTTTTTAAAAAAACCTCGTAAGATTGGAAATCTTCTAAAAGAATGAGAGGTAAAACATGGGTGTTTTCTTCTCATTCCCTGAATTTGCATTTATTATATGGATGTTCAGAGAGAAGAGCTCAATATTGATTATGGTAGACCCGTAATCAAATTAGAAGGCCAAAAGAGATCGATCTAGCATGGCTGGGCTTTTTAGACTAGTGAGATTGTGGGAATATTGCACGGTGTAAAGGCCTGAAACTGTTATTATATTTAAGTGGCAGTAAAAGCTTGGGGATTGTGACTAATCTTTTCAGTCATGTGGAGATTACATGTTTCTGGTGATGGCTTTTGGGCCTTTGTTTTCTTTTTAAGATTTCTGACCTTCACAAATAGTTAACTTAGTGCCTACATGTGTGTTTCTGATAATATAGGGATACAATCGAGAGAGATCTAGTGTGATTGTGTGTATCTAATTGGCACTAAAGTGTAGTAGATGTACAAATGAGGGCAGCCCGAATCCTCGGTAGTCATCGATTCTGTCTGAAAGGCTTTCACCCAAGCCCTCTAGGTGTGCTTTTATGCCAATAAATGATACCTGAGCGTGAACATGCAAACATGTGCTCATCCTGAAGACAGGCTTCTCTTAAGGAGCAAGACTTGCTTTCTCGGTTTTCAGAAAGGTAAACTAAGATGTTGTGGATGGCCAATGAAAAGGAAGTCATGGTCAACATGCTTGAATAGCTTCCTGAACCTACTGCCGAAGCTAAAGCACGGTTAGAGGTGCATAATCACAGGCCAACCCTAGCCATTTCAGACTCCGTTTCTTTCCTGTGACATCGAAAATGAGAGGCAAGCAGCCCAGAAGTTCCTTATAAGGAGCCATCACTTTTACACCCAACGGTGCTCTTCCTTAGACCTTTAAATTTTTACTAAGAAGGCACGGGTCTGTGTAGTCTCTTCTCTTACTTACAGTCACTATGTCGCTGCCCTACACAGCACCTCCAAGTATAGTTATGTTTATAAATGTTGAGTCACCCTGTCTCTGAGCCACAGCAAGGCCAAGAATCTCCCAAGCGGTTTTTCTTTCTCATTCCTGTAGAGAGTCTTGATGATCAGACTTCTAATTGTTTCACATCGCTTTTCCCTGAAGCATTGACCATCAAAGGCATGACTGTCTCAATATACCGGATTATAGTATCCGTGGAGACAACCAGCATATACCAAGGAAGCCAAAATGTGTGAAGTAGCCCAGAAATTCTAGAAAGCCAAGAGTCAACAAATAGCACCTTTGAGCTGTTTTACTGAAGGGAAGCGGCTTCCCAGATTGCGAGCTCTCATGTGACCTTGGATGTCTGTGTCAGCCTTTTACTGCCATTCTCAACAACAACAACAAGAATCACTAGGGCTCAGGTCCTGTGAGATTATGTAATTTAAGACCAGCTCATTAAGTGCAAAACAAGGTTCTTTTCTGCTGGTGCAAATATAGAACACTTGTTTGAGAACTGTCAAAGCTGGCATGGGGCAAAAACAGACAGCACAGTTGTGCTAGTGTGTGTGAAATATGCGTCTTTATTCTTTTTTGGACCCCTCTGCTTATTAAATCGACATCGATAGAGCTTTGAAGCTTTGCAGACTCTGGGAAGGTAAAAATGCAGGTACAGTCAGTGAAAAGTACAGAAATCAGATGGATGGTGAATTACTGGTAGTTATTGTCCATCCCAGTCATTTTGCAAGATACAGAAGTAAAATTCCTCAAATTCAAGTAGACTGCTATTCATCTTAGTATTTGGCTTAATCATCCAGCTTAAAAGGGAAACTTTAAATGCTTAGAGTACTTCTTTTAGAAAGGGACATAGAGTTTTAGTATTTCTAGTACCCTTTGCCAATGGTCTGGGCATTTCCTGGCATCTCCGGGCTGACCATATAAAGCTGGCAGATGGCACAACTGTAAGATCCTATCTGATATTTGCCCTCTAGCAAGTGGGGGCAGTGGGGGGAGGGAAATCCTCTCTGTCAGGATACATTGCCATATACAGTGATAGCTCACTTATTAGGCTTCCGTGTTGCTATTGGCTGTGTCCAGGTATGGTCAGAAAATATTTTGCACAGAAGATAGATCTTGTTTTCTGTTACTTAATACTCAGAAGGAAACAAAACCTAAAGGAAGAGAAATCAATTTTCAAGAAAATAAATTCATGTTCAGTTACTTTGTTTGATCTGGCAAACAATAGTTACTCTCCTGCTTGATCAGTGCACCTCCTGCATCAGGTTCCACCATTTGAGCCCTCCCTGCTCAATGTTTCCATGGTAGAATGAGCCTAAAGGAAATGAATAACGGATTCGAACAAAGTCAAAAACTTGAGAAACTCAAACACATTGCCATCAATTCTACTCCAACTCACAACAACCCTATTGGCTAGGGTAGAACCACCTGCTGTGTTTCTGAGATGGTAACTCTTTAGAGGAGTCGAAAGCCTCCTCTTTTCCCCATGAAGTGGCCAGTGGTTTCAACTGACCTTGCATTTATCAGCCCCCTTCACAGCCCACTACCAGAGCTCTCACTGCTGTTGTTAAATGAGTGTCCATTGTATTCCAAGCACTCTTTCTAGACCCTTTTGAATACATTATCTCATTCTATTTCCAAAGCAATTCTATATATATATATGAACACGCTGAGGTTCAAAATGGTTAGCTTGTCCAGATTCATAGAGCTAAGAAGTATTAGCTCATGTCCAAGCCCATGGTCATGGAGTCTACTCAAGCTCATAGGGAATTTTTATAAGGTTTCTGAACTGTAAATCTTATGGGAACTGAGAGCTTCATATTTCTCAGACCTTCCTGTTACAGCAAGAAGTATTAAGCAGTAAGGAAAGAGCTAACTTTAACTCTAGATCAGCCTGTCATAAAGTCCATGAGCTTTCCACTGCACTTTACGGTTTCCATTGTCAGAAACCTGCATGCCAAGGGGAGTTAATACTCTCAAGTGACTTAAAACTTAACAAGGCAAACTGTGGGTGCATGTGTATCTAGATGGCAATGTGTCGTCCTGTTAAAGGTATTTCAAAATAATTTTTATAGGTTTCGCTTTGCCCTGGTGCAGGGATATGGTTTGTCTCATCTTCAGTGTCTTAGCAACTCTTGCCTAGTAAACAACAAATTTATTTCTCTAAATTTAAGTTGCTCAGAATACAGAATGAGTCAAAATCCCTTCCTAGTAAACTCTAAAAATAATACTGTGAACAGAACACCCATTAAAAAGTTTTTAAAGATAATAATTGGAAACACAAAGTTAAGCAAACTACTACGTTGTTAACGTTCATTCAGTAAATTTTATATAAAATACTTGTGCAAGTATCAGCTGATTAGTGCTGGCTAGAGTTATAATTTGGAAAAATAAAATAAAAACGATGCCATCTAATAGTCCAACTCAGACTAGCCTCCCACAAGGGATAATATGTATAAAACCTGCATATGTAAGTGGTTAAACTGCTGATACTGTCATCATGTAATAGTAAAGAGCCAGACACTTTTATTGAGGTGCAAAAATCTACAATTAAAAAAGAAGTATGCAGAGAGAACCATTGGGGGTTGTGAAGCAATGTTTATTTGAACCCCGTTTTGTAACAATTGGGCATTCTCTTTTATAGACAGTTGACCGGCCGAAGGACTGGTACAAGACAATGTTTAAGCAAATTCACATGGTGCATAAGCCTGGTAGGTATGGCTGTCTGGTTTCTGTTGAGGTCCTTGTGGGCTGAAGGGTGTAGTTGTAACAAAATGCTAAGACCCTGGCACACATCATGGCCCTCCTTCTTTCTGTTCAGTGTCCTCTGTGCCTTTGCCTCACCCTGAGCCTCTTGAAGGTACCCCCTGGAAGAATGCCAGGTGCTCAGGTCTCCCCCCACATCCCCACACCCTGCCTCCCTATCCCCAGTCTAAACCTATGCTGTGTCTGCTGGAACACACTCGCTGTCCCTCTGTCCACCTCTGTCTCCTTCTTACCAGAAGAGCAAGGATGGGCAGGGCTGAACAGGCTGGCTCAGCACACTTGACAAGAGGCCTTTAAAGGACTTACCAAAGGAAAGCGAGGTCTGAAAAGTCAGGCAAACAGCTTGCACAGGCCCGCTATCCTAAACGGTAGCAGTTCAAAGCCACCTGGTGGCACCAGGAAAGAAATGGCCTGCTTCCTTTACAGCGATAGGCAAGAAAACTGTGCAGCCATTCTACTCTGTAACCCATGGGGTTCTCGTGATGGCAATTACCATCAGCCAAGGAAAGGGGAAGAGCAGCCAGGCAGATTCGTGCCAGGGGTCCGTTTGCATAAACCCAGCCAATTGCAATATTTGAAGAAGAAGAAAAAGTTAAGTGTGAGTTAGAAGATGCACTGGTTTTCTAACAACTTGCTGCTGTGTCTCTGACGTTCTGCTATCATGTTACCTGATGTGGCGGCCAACCTGTATCACCATCCTATTTATGTTTCATTTTCTAGATGATGGCACAGACATGTATAATACCCCTTATACATATAATGCAGGTAGGATGGGCTTCCTTGCTTGCAATGAATATTTTTCTGCCTGGCGCTGTTTGGAAGAGCTACGAGGTCGCTTTCTGACCACTCTGAGCGCATGTGTTCAGTTTATAGAGTTAAGGGGATCTTTTTTCTTTTCTCAGAGCATGCCTAACAAAAGGATTGGTCTTTTCTCATGGAAATGAGCACTAATACTGTGTAATCTCATTCATTCCCACTTGAGTTTGTTCTCCACTTCAGGAATGTTGCACCAAATCATGGGGGACAGCAGGAAAGCCCGACTGTAATCGGGCCACAAATTAAGATAAAGATCTGCTTTTATCAGTCCAAAGAGTGATTACAATTGTGCGAGATCATTCAGATACACTTCTTACAAAACAAATCAAGCAACGTATTATGTGACCTTGCCCTGACTCTGTTCCCCTACCCCCCCTCACCCCATCCCATTGCTATGATTCATGGAAAGAGGAAAAAGAAAGAAAAAGAATTCCACTTTGGGGAGCCCACTTTTCTAACTCTGAGCTGCCAGTGGGCTTCCTGGAAGGATTTCCGGTTCAGACATGTCTGCTTGTAGCGGAGCTGTTGGTGGTGTCTTATGAAGTGGCCTGCAGGCCGGAAAGAGAGCAGTCCTCCAATGTTTCCTGGGCGGCTTCCTCCAGAATTCATCATCAAGAACCCCGCCCAGGGCCTCCTCTCGGAGCTGCCGCAGGTTCAAGCCTGCTGCTCAGTTGATGTTTTCCCTTCTCTCGAGCAGGCCCCAAAGGACCCTTGGCGGTGCTGTGGGGTATGCCTAGGCTGCGGATGCAGAGTCTGCAGTTCAAACTCACCAGCCACTCCACAGGAGAAGAATGAGACTGTCTGTCCTCCTTGCAAAGCAGTGGTTCTCAACCTTCCTGATGCTGCGGCCCTTTAATACAGTTCCACATGTTGTGGTGACCCCCCAACCATAAAATTATCTTTGAGACTACTTCATCACTGTAATTTTGCTAGTGTTATGAATCAGGCGACTGCTGTGAAAGCGTCATTTGACCCCCCAAAGGGGTCACGACCCACAGGTTGAGAACTGTAGTTATAAAGGTTTCCAGCTCAGAAACCCTATGTAGGGTCCTCATGAGTCAGCATGAACTTAGTGGAAGGGGGTTTGGTTTGGGGTTCTAGAGCAGCCCCCCAGGGGCAGGTTGCTTCTTGCCTTCAGCACCTGTGACTTCTCTCAGGGGTCCCCCCGCTATCCTGACCATGGAGTCTCCCTTCGGCCAGCACTCAGGGCCTTTTCCTGTTAGGGATGTTGCCACTTGCCCCAACAAAGGAAAACATATATAACAGACTTAGCAAACTGTAAGGGCCCTGCCCCCAGAAGATAGCAGAAGCCCACTGAGATGTTTCCCCCCACTCTGACTCTCAGGCACTGAAACCCCTATAGAGTTCAGCCCCTACTCTGAGACACATGGGCTTTGCACGAGTGCCAATCAGCTCAGTGGTCACACGTTTGGGTTTGGGTTTTGTTATTCCTAGAGAGAGGTAGACCAGACCTACATCCTTTATCTAGCTCTCCAGCCAAAGTTTGACTGTGGGATGCAGGCAAAACACTTAAATGCCAACTGTTGTCACATCTTTTCTTTGCCATGGGATGTGCTGGACCCTCAGAGAAGCAGATGAAGGAGAATGGAGTTAGCACAAAGAGGGAAGTTGTAGGCAATCAGACATTTTTATAATCGACATTGTTAAAGTTTATATCACATAGACTAGCAAGGTGAACAGGAATTACATATTTTATTGAGCCCCTGAAAGATATGTTCATGTAATCATTTCATCTATAGACCAAGTAACAGCAACTAGTCTCTATGCTTTCTCTAACCATACCACCCACTGCTTTTTTTCTGGCTCTTTCCTGGGACGCTTCCTCTGCTATCCCTGCTACCCTCTCTCCCCAAGCCGCAAACTAACCCTTCAAGGCCAACTATAACCCATGCTACCTTCTCTGACTAATCCAGCATCTTGTAGCATCCTTTAGTTCTGAATGTGTGTTTTCCTCATCTGGCCTGTTACCGTGTACTACCAATTACTTTTGACCATCATTCTATTTGTGGCTGTGTAACATTGATTTCCATATTTTGTTTGATTATAATCAACATGGTAATTCTCATATGTAAATCATAACTTTTAAAATATTGGAAGGCATTTGGGAGCTAAGTGATTTCAAAGTTGTTCTGAAACCCCAATGGTGTCCTTAGAAAGGAGGAAATCTGCTCAGTCCCTGTACATTTTTGCCTCACAGAAATCTGGATTATAACAACTCCCAGTAATTCCTGAAAACGGCCTGCCATCGATGCGCATGCCTAGAACGAATGAATGATAAGGTCACGATAATTCATTCAAAATATTCAGCCCAATATGTGCATGTGAATTTGCTTATTGAAATTAATTTTGGTAAAATGATAGTCATTTCGGTTTATGAGAGAGACACACATTTAGTGTACATTTTAAATGCTATTTCCTTCTGGATCCGTCTGTTTGTACTTCTCGCGATAGGCCTGTACAGCCCTCAGTACAGCGCTCAGTCACACCCCGCGGTGAAGACCCAGACCTACAGACCGCTCTCCAAAAGCCACTCGGACAATGGCCCCGATGCCTTCAAGGATGCCTGCTCCCCTGTGCCTCCCGCACATGGTCCGCCACCAGTCCCACCACTGCGACCCAGAGACCGATCTGCCACAGAAAAGTAAGGCCTTTCCCCCCTAAAATGGCCTATAAACACTTCTTTATTTTAAAGGAAAAAAGAAACTGCATTGCCATAGATTCGATTCGGACTCATATAGCAACCCTAAAGGACAGAGTGGACTGTAACTCTTCATGGGAACAGGAAAGCCTTTTTCTCCCACGGAGCGGCTGACCTCGCAGTTCCTAAGCCTCTGTATCACACGGACGAAAACAAGTCCATATGGCATTTGATGGAAGAATCAGTGCTTACCTTATGGAGAGAGCATGAGTGCGCTCTTATATGACATGCTGATGCCTTCCACTGACTGCGCCCTGGTGTAGCGTTGTGCACTGGGCTGATAACTGAATCGTGTGCGGCTCGAAACTCCGAGGCAGAAAGATGGGGCTTTCTACTCCCTTAAAAAGTTACAATCTTGGAAACTCGCAGGAGCAGCTCCGCCCTGCCCTCTGGGTCATTATAAATCAGAATTGACACCAGGGCAGTGAGTTTGGGGTTTCTTTTCTCCTGCATTGAGCTTGTAGCAAACACTTTCACAATTGTGCTTCCTAAATATTCTACTGAACCAAGTTGGACTTGAAGTAACCTGGGCACAATCTCTTATTATTTGATCAAGAAATGCATCTAAGAAGTCATACATGCAGGAATAATTGGCATTTACTTCTTTTGAGACCTGGAGTAGGCGGCAGGGTTAACGTGCTCAGCTGCTGACTGAAAGGCTGGCGGTTCAAACCCTGTCAGAGGTGCCTCTGTCAAATCAGCCACTGAGAGCCCTGGCGTGAAGAGCACCGCTCTGACCCAAAGGCACGTGTGACTGAGCCAGAGTCAGCCGGACGCAAGTGGGTCGCTGTCCTTTGATAGAGCGGGTTAGCGACCACAAGCTTCATTGCAGGTTCCTCCAATTTCAAATCCTGGGTTTATGAATCATTTAAAGTTTTCCCTCTGGTAAACAAAAAATGTCTTTGGGAAACTAGGGGGATTATTCATAGATCAGAAATAAAGCATGTTTCAGAAGTGCTTATCTGTGACTTGTTTCCACCAGCCTTTCGGGGTGATATTAATACACATTTCTCCACTGAAATACTTTTATAGAAATAGTCTGGCTAAAATAAACATTTGTAATCAGACTATGTCATTTCTTATGAGATTATGACTAATTATCCTATAGGTAGCCTTTTGTAAGCACTTACTATGTGCCAACCACCAGAACATGCACTTTTCCTGTATTATATCTCGTAATTCTGAGAACAACCCAATGAGATACATGCTATTTTAAAACTACTTTAGAGAGAAAGACACTGCCATTTAGAAATGGAAGTAACTTGTGCAGCTCACACAGCTATTATTTTTCGACACCTTTCTTAGCATATAATTCACCTGCCATACACTTCACTAGTTCAGTCACTTCGGGAAGAATGACGCAGCCATCACTGCCATCAGCATCAGAACACGTTTTCATTCTTCTATTCAGCTAATTCCATCCGAGGCAAGATTCAAACTTAGCGCTGAGAAAAGCCAGAGTCCACACTACACTGATAATGAAAAAATGAGGATATGAAAGGTGTACAGGATTAATACTATTATAAGACCTCCATCTTAAGCACCCAAGAAAAGTTATATTCGATATCCCACTGGACCATTACACATAATTGAGGATCATCCTTGTATATGGTATAGGATACCATGAAAGCCAACCCACAGTATATCTAATAGGATTCCCATTATAGTACTAAACACTTTCATGTTGTATTTAGAAAATGTTATGGCTTAAAATGTAAGACATCGTTAGCAAGACACAAAGTGGTACTTTGGCCATAAAAAAATTTTAAAAAGACGCAAAAGGTGAAGTCAGGTTTCGGTGTATCATTTTCCCTGTGCGCTTAGCAGACATGTGATAGCCTCTTAGAAATCCCTAGAGAGCTTGCATATGCATCGCCTCACCGAGTCTCCATAAGGAAGAAAGGACAAATTTTTCCCCATCTGTGCTTCCCAGGTGGGAATGCTGTGACGGGAACAGTTAAGGGGCTGCGGCCCATCAATTTCGTGGACGATCAGGACTTGCCTCTAATATTTCGATCTCTTGTTGTGTGCTCTCAAGCCCATAGCGACGCACACGGACCCAGCAGGACCAGGCAGAACTGCCCATGGGGTGTTCCGAAGCGGAACATCTTCATAGAACAGTTAACCAGGCCTTTTCTCCCCACAGAGGAAAGTCGCTGGTGGGTTCGAACCACAAACCTTTCCGCTAGCAGCCCAGAACGTACCCATTGCATTACCAGTGCTCCTTGTTTGCTCTCTTATGCACCCCATTCCCACCATGCCAGAGTCAGAAGTTCATTCCTCCCCATGGAATCAGAACTCTCCCCCCGTCAATCCCTTCTAGCTCTCGTGAGAAAATCCCTTCCCTCTTCCACCCCAAATGATCAGCACCATGGACGCTGCCTTCTTCAGCTTGGCTACCAAGAAGCTTTCATTTCTAAGCCTTCCTTTGAAAAATAGCTGAATCCAAGGCAGCACATTGCAACATCATACATTTCTTCTTTTTCAAAATAACACAAGAGGGATCTTTTGAGGCAAACCGCTTGCTCCTGTGTGCAGCAAACCAAGTGATGCTTTGTACATTTCCCAGGAAAGCCATCGTGCCACTAACCAGATAGACGAGATGAAACATGGCACACACATCACTCCTTGTTCCTTTGGATCAAGGCTGGCAGGTTGCAGAGTGCTGGGACCAGCTGGGACCAGCTCAGGTCATTAAACAGAGCATGCCACAGTTCACTCTAAACACAAGCATACGCAATGGCCATTAGCAACCCAGTGGTTTACTAGCGGGTCACTGGCTGTGTGTCTACAGACCCCTGACTTGAGTTTTTGTGTCAGCCGCAGGATAGCCATTGTTAGGGGGAAAGTAGAAGAAATTATAGGAACTGGCTTTCATAACATCATGCAGGTAAAGCAAAACATAAATTTGGTACCATTTGCAGATATGCTGGTTATCCTTAGAGACTTTAAATGACACTAAAAATGACTTTGAAGACAGTGAGGGGTTTCAGACAACTGCTGTAGGCAGCAGAAGTTTGTTCAGGGGGTGTTTTGTTGTGTATTTCTAGGCATGACTGGGATCCTCCAGACAGAAAAGTGGACACAAGAAAATTTCGTTCAGAGCCAAGGAGTATTTTTGAATATGAACCGGGCAAGTCATCAATTCTTCAGCATGAACGACCGGTAAGCGCGCGTGACTAAACAGTATACCAGTTACCTCCTTAGCTTGGGTTCCCAAATAACCTGAATTTCATATCACTTAGCCATTTACGGTAATTTAATGATTATTTATTTGGCACTATGTATTATTTATTTGGCATCTATTTGTTTTGGATCATGATTTGAGCATCTCGTCTCAGCACTGAAAGATGCCCTCTAATGTACGGTCCCTAACTTGCATGGGAGTATGGCCCCATGTAAACATGACCATGAGTCCAGTTCCCAAAAAAATAAAACGCAGCACTTATTCTACAGTTCTCCATCATATATGGACCTAGACTAGGGGCTTCTATCCTTTTGGCTTCTGTGTTGGTTGTTTAGTATTTCTCTTAAGGAAAGGAAGTTTCTGTTGCCTTTCTATAACAAGTCGTTTTAATGGATTCTCATTAAATCCCTCTCAGGTTACCAAGCCTCAAGCATCCTGATTGATTGTCAGTCTAATGGATCAAGATTATATTTAACTTTGCAGTATTTTCATTGCAATGGTTCATTGAATTGGATACTAACAAAAGGACACAATAACTGGAGGGGTGGGTGAAGGAGGGTGGGGTTCTTTGCCTCTTCCAAGTGCTAGTTAGCAAGAGGTTCTTCTTTGGCCCACTTGGATCTTTAGTCCCCTGGTCCTCCTTTCTATGCCCTTTACTCTCCTCCATCCCTGATCTCTTTGCAATTTTACTCTTCCTCTGCACCTCCATCAAATCTTGCATTTAGAGAGAAAAACAAAAAGGAAATGGTGCATTTTGCATTTTACACCATGCCTGGCCATAAAGGAACTTTAGGTGCCAGTGAACAGGAAAAAGAGTGTTGACAGTACTTGCCTTTTCTAAAGTAACAACAAAATCACACTTGTACATACAATGCAAGTTCTACCCTAAAATACAGTCTGGAAAGCCTTGTCTTACCACACCCAGCATACGTGGCCTTGACTTAGCTTTAGTTTCTTGAGAAGAGTGTTCTAAAACCTTATGACCACATAATGTACACATGGGATTTATCTCCGGCTTCTTTGTCTTTCCTCAAATGGCTTGTATTAATGGTTCTAAAGTATTAATGGTTTTAGAGTAACACACCTTAAACAACAACAACAAATGAAAAAAAGGACAAAATAACACCACAGCCATGAAGGTTCTATTGTAAACTTCTAGGTTATATGATTGAGCAACCAGAAGATTGATTATCAAGACACAAAGATATTCTGAAACTTGTAGGGCAAGAATTGAGTGAACCATGATTTTACCATGGCAGAAAGTGGAGAATATCCAAATAATTATGCAACATTGGAAATCTCAGATTTGAGTGTCATTCACAGCAGTTTTATAATGATTATTCCAATAATATGAGATGATGAACCTTATCCTTGTACTGGAATGATTGTGCCGCTACAGTGTCATGAAGCAGGATTGATTTTAGAAGAGTCCTCATGAGAATATTTCTATTCCTCCTATTTATTCATGGAGCAAATTCCCTGAGCACTTACTGGGTTCTAGAAGCATTCTGGGGACTAGAGGCATAGTGGTGAACCAGACACAGCCCCCACTTCAAGGAACTTAGAGTCTGTCACCTAACAGGAATGTAGGGCTAGACCTCTGTGTGTGCAACACAGCCTCCTATGTGGTTGCTGTCAAAGGACCCTCCCTTTGCCCTAAGAGCTCATTGGTGGGCTCTGTTATAATGATGGAAATTCCTACACTTGAAACCTAGAAGATTCAACTTTAAAATAGCACGAATAATAATTGTTATTCATCTTATTGAATACCTACCTTACTACGTGCCAGGCCTTGGAATTGGGAGTTGATGCTTTATCTCATGTAATGCCCTCCCTCCCCATGCCCACCCCTGTGAAGAAGAAAGAGGACACTCTCATCGTACAGACGAAAAGACTGAAACAAACATGACATCGCTTTAGCCCAGATCACACGCCTGGACCGTGCTAGATCTAGAGTTGAGGCCGGGCAAATCCACGCCTGTGTGCTTGGCCAACACTATCCTGCTGCGCCAGGGAAGGCAGTGCAGGAGACACAGTTAGTGAAAACCAAGAACCAAACCCACTGCCATCTAACTGAGTCCACATGGAGCCAGTAGTACTTGTCGCCTTACTCAGCTTACCTGCTTCATTGGTTCCTTTACTTCTTTATTTACTACTTGATGGCAATTTTGTAGATACATTCTTTGAGCTGCTTGGTCAGAAGCCTGAGCCCTGTATAGTCAGGGCACAGGAAACAAATTCTAAGAAAAAGAGAAAGATCTGAAGCAGGGGATTGGCAAGGATTTGGGTTTAGATGGGTCTCTTCAGCCAAAGACCAAAGGAAAGAGAGTTGGAAGAAATTGGGAAAGAGGAAGGAAAAGAGAATTGATAGCCTACGGAGAAAGGAAACGTGCCAAAAAACTTTTTTCCCTCCTGAGCAATTTTGCCGACGTTCAGTCTGGTGCAGGCATGACTTCAGTTAGTCATCGGCAGTAGTTTGGCTGGGTGCTTGCTATGGCTTTAATATTAGAGATCCTCGGGCTCATTTTCAACACGTGGCAACCCACTGAGAGAGAGCAGAGTTGCCCCTAGGCTTTTCTAGGGTGTAAGGTTCACAGAAGCAGCTCTCTGGGGCTTCCTCTCATGAAGCCACTTGGTTAACAACTGACGCTTTTCCCATGGTGTCACCAGAGCTCGTTTTCATCATGACAATACCATTGTGGCCGTGAGGTGCCAGTGAGCAGGTTTGGACTTCTGGAGAACGGAAGTGAACACTTCCCAGTGCTACACTTTCCTGACCATTGCTGTTATGTCTGAGCCCACTGTTCTAACCGTGGGACTCGTCTATGATTTCTTTTTATAACCGACCTTGAATCGATTATGATTGCCTCCATAGAGGAGAAGCGGGGAAAGAGGGCTGTGCGCCCAATGGCGGCAGAGAGGGCTATGTACTGATAAAGTCCACAGAAGGTTCTGAGGGCCTTGGGCACACACGGTATAGAGGATGACGAGCAGGTGTGCAAAGTAGGCATGGGATAGCAGCAAACAGAAAGCGTTATGATTTTCCCACTGCACTCCCTTGTCTCCACTCCAAGGCGCTTTGTGAGAATTCTGTTTCTCTTTTCATATTTTGTTTTGCATAAATTGCACACAATGATGCACAGTAGTTCAGTAAGTCTGTGTTGCTCTTTTGGATTCCCAGATAACACCACCCATCTGCCCCATTTTCCTCGATGTCATCCTGGATCCTCTTTCTCCCCCTAAGTCCTGCATGCTGGATGAAAGGCAGCTGCGTTCTTCTCATCTGGACCACAGTTCCCTCTTGCCTAGGACAACCAAAGGCAGCCTCCTGGCTCATTTAGCTAACTCTCCACTCGTCTTCACATCACAGCTCCAAACAAACAAACAGAAAAACCCAACTCACTGACTTCTAGTCAAGTCCAACTCGTAGCAACACATAGGACAAGGTAGCACTGCCCCCTGGGGTTTCTGAGACTGTAGGTCTTTGTAAAACCTCCTGCTCAAAACTTTCTATGGCTTCCCACTGTCCTTAGGGCAAGATCCCGGTTCCTTAACATCATTTACAAATAACCGTTGTGATCTGGCTATTGTCCATCCAGCCCCACCTCTCCTCATCCTCCCTGCCTCCCTCTCTGCCTTCTAGCAGAGATCCAGAGGTCCTTTACTTCCTCCCGGCAAGCCCTTCACACTGACTGCTCCCCTCTGCCAGGAACTCTCCCCAGCACGTCTCCCTTCATGTGGAAAAGTTCAACTTACCCCTCATGTCTCAGCCTAGACACAGTTCCCCAAAGCAGCTTCCTCCTGCCTCTCAAGACTTGAAAGCTGAAGCAGGAAATTGGAAGCACCCCCTACCATGTGCCTATGGCACCTGCAGTTCTCCACCCACGCCTGATCACTGGGAACTGTAAAGGCCTGTTGACTTGTTGGAGCTCAGGTGGTGTAGTGGTTGCCAGCTGGGCTACTCATCACAAGGTCAGCATTTGAAACCACCAACCATTCCTCGGAGAAAGATGGAACTTGGTACTCCCTTAAAGAGTTACAGTCAATAGGGGCAGTGCTACCCTGCCATATAGGGTCCCTATGAGTTGACACTCTATAGCCATGAGTTATGGTTTGGTTTTTGAGTGGACTTGTCCATATCCCTCCTTGGACTTTAACTTCCTTAAAGCAGGGACCCATCTGATGCACCAGTTGTAACCCCAACATCTAGCACAATGCCTGGCACATGGTGGGTGGTCCAGTGAATACTGGTTGAATTCATAAGTGAACAAATGTATACAGGTTAAAGTATGGTTGTGCTAAAGCTTTAGTTGGTACTTCAGGCTGGTGGAAATCCCTATCCTGCTGCTTATTCTTGACATTTCTTTGATAAAAGACACAATAGGTCTCAGTCAAAGCCCACACATGACAGTCTCGGAAACCCACAGGGAGAGTTACAGGGTCTCTCTCTACTCGATGCCATGAGTTGTGAGTGGCAGTAGTTTATTGAGTCCATGATTCCCTGAAGGCCCACAGGGGCCAGAACTGTCAGAATAAAAGTAGCTCAGAGCCTAGCAAAAAAGACCCCTGTCTTCCTTAGGTGAGATACATGTGAATACAATTAAAGATGCATTTGACTACAAATTTAGAAATACCAACCATCACTTAGGATTTAATCTAGAAAACTACTTTGCAATCACCGGAAACGTATCCTTAACTGAATTGAACAGTAAGTCCGGGCCATATTTTCATAAGGTAATACGTTCACTACCTTGAGATAATCAGACAATATTAATTTAAAAGTTACGTGCCACCCAGATTAGGTATGTTTGCAGGTGAGCCACATTAAACAAAAACAAGAAAGCCTTGGTTCAGGATCTCGCTACACTTGATAGGCACCACGTTTCAGTCAGTGTGTCTTACTGTGATGCCTTGTGTGTTGCGGTGATTCTGAAAGCTGTGTCGCTCGTATTTCAAACACCAGCAGAGTCACTCAAAA